TATACATATATATGCAATGTGCTGAGTCTGTTTTGTGTTACTTATATGTATATGTTTTTAGGTCTAAATATATGGTACTAGATAAACTGTCAAGACACTCATCTCTGGGAGAGATGAATTCTTTTAGTAGTCATTAATTTCTTATAGCTTTTAATCTAGAAATGAGCAACCCTATGAGATTTTTCCCATCCACATTAGCATGTCAACTGATGGTTTCATTGTTCAGGTCTTCTTGAAGCAGTCACAATGTTGATATTTCATGGGTGTACATCTGTCATACATAGAAGACACAATCTTTTAGTTGACTTCTTCATACTCTAATTCATAACTTTTCCACCTCTTTTCTGGTGACATTTCCTGGGCTGTAGGTGTAGAAATTGTGTTGTAGATGTCTTGTAAAGGTGTAAATATTTACAGCTGCATTTATAAATGCTCTATCTAGCTCCTTAAACCACAGTGTGTACAGACCTATGAAGAGCTATCAATTATATGTGTATTTAAGATGGACTTTTCTTCTTCTAGGTGAAAGATTAATCATAACATTTCTCCTGTGAAATAGAAAGTTCTTCTCTAGTTTCCTTCATCTCTGTTACTGCATTTCAGAAACATATTCTTTTCCTCACCAACTCAAGTGGTCAAAAATGAGCTGTATTGGCCAAAAAAGGATGTGCATTCATAAGAGGAATCTGTTTCTCCTAGGTTGCTGATGCATCGTACAAAATCTTGTCTAATGAAATGGGACAAAATGCACATTCTTATCCACCTTTCTAAAAACTGCATTTTACAAATTCTCTAATTTACAATAAAATGCATGTAGACCTATAATGAGAAATAGGAAACATCTACCTACGAAATAGATTCTGGATGAAGTATTCATCATAGAATCTCTCATGGACCTAAAGAATGCCACATCTTTACAACTTCTGTTACATAATCATCTCCAAGACTTCTTGTAACAGTGCATCTGGCTGATAATCACATATGGAGTATGAGCTTGGAAAATAGGTATCTTTATTCCCTGTAAAAGATCCTCAGATACAATTTTCTCAAATTAAATGGACATTTCTTACTTTCTTACTTCTGTATAATGGAATTACAGAAATGCACCAAAGGACTTGTCCATAATGAGCAAAAGGAAATATGGGCTCATAAAATAAACTTGTTGGAGTAGAAAAAATATTGATGCTTTCAGTGTGGATTGGAGGAATTAGCCACATTCTCACCCAGCAACATAATTTAAATGCTCTGATATGTATCTTGCATAGAATTGCAAGTAGGTTAATATTGTACAGTAATGAGTATGTGTTTAAAAATAGAAACTACATATACTGTATGAACCCTGCCTCATAGACAACACTTCAACTACTGAATGGAAGTTTCTTTCAACTTCTTATGTACCTCATTGTAAGTGCCAGCACTTACTTACTGAGCCAGGATTACCTGATATAGCTGATGAGAAATACAACTTAACCAGGTTATGTTGACGGGATCACAGCAAGACTGAGGTTGTGACAAGTTTATTGCAAGCAATCAGACTTTTTATACCCTTACAGAATCATAATACAATAGTGGTAGCCAGGATCAATACAATGGTAGTTGTCGGGATACAATGATATATTCAAGCTATACATAAGAATAATGTTTAAGACTAGTTGTCCAGCACAGGTTCTATATGCTTTGATGACTTCTAGGGAACACAGAGAAACATAGGCAGCCTGAATGCTTCACTGCCTGAGAGAGTGCATCAGTTTCTCAGGAACTGAAATGCACACAGTGGCCCAGGAACCATAAACTATAAACTAAAAAAAAAAAAAAAAACAAAAAAATCCCAATGACCTATGCCTCTCAAGGCAACTAGACAAGGCTTCCATGATTCCCTACACTTCATTTAGCTTCTTGTCCATAATGCCATAAGATTTAGAAATGCAATGGTAAGTGTGCCTTTTCCACTACAATCTCTTCATTATAGGTGCAGAATGCATCATACACAAACTTCAGTCAAGGAAAACAACAGTTTCATATCCTCACCCATCATGTAACAGCATATGACCAATGTGGTAACTACTCATCCACAGAGTGAAAAAAATCTTCCTATATAACATATTCATATGTTAAATATCATACAATGAGAATAGATGATATTGGCATATAAAAGAGAATATATTCGTTCATGACAAAATTTTAACCTACAAAAGGTTCTTTCATGAATTTAAAAACATAGAAACAGTGTCTTCCAGTGACAACAGGACTGATGCACAAGTGAATTCACAGAGACTGTGACAGAACACACAAAATATGCACAGGTTTAAGCTACATAAGCAAGTGGACACAGGTTCTCATCCCTAACCTAGAATCTAGCAGTAATTTATACCCCAAATCAAAGGGAAAACCTGTTTTCTCTAATGGAGTGGCAGTGGGTATATCTGAGTCTCATGTCCAAGTGTAGTTGGCCAACACAAAATAAATCCCAGGGTTTCTTGTATGTGTGTTAAGAGGACTTTGTATTTTGCATTTTTGTCTTATTTTTTGGTTGTTTAGATATTAGTTTTGTGGTATGTTTTTAAAGACAGAACAAGAAGGAAAAACATAAACTTGGATAGGTCAGGTAGAGAGAAGGATCCATGATGAGTTTGGGGAAGAAAAAAGAAGGATCAAATGAAATTAAAAAAAAACCCAATAATGTTGTAAATGTTAACAAAAATAGTATGATTCTTAAGAATAATTTTTTAATTAAATTTATTTTTAATTTATGTTTATTTGTGTTTTGCCATGAGTGTCAGCTGTGAGCTACCATGTGGGTGATGGAAATTGAACCCAGGTCCTCCAGAAGAGCAGTCAGTGCTTTTTCTTTTTTTTTGAAGATTTATTTATTTATTATGTATGCAGAAGAGGGCACCAGATCTCATCACAGATGGTTGTAAGCCACCATGTGGGTGCTGGGAATTGAACTCAGGACCTCTGGAAGAGCAGTCGGTGCTCTTAACCTCTGAGCCATCTCTCCAGCCCCAAGAATAAATTTTTTAAAGATGTAAAATATAATTCTAAAAAAAAGAACAATAGTTGGCTAACGACTCCTGAAAGGAGAATTAGTCTCTTCCATGGACAAACACCCTAACTGATTCTGCAACACAAAATAATCACATACTCTATACAGGGAGACATTCCATTTCCTTCTCTAGGCTCTACAGTGAATTTCTCATGACTTCCCCATTCAGACCTTTTTCTCATCCATGCTTTCTCAGTCATGTTCACTGCTACTCTATTCACAACAGCTAGGAATGGAAACAATTTTAATGTCCTTAAACTGATGAATGGATAATGAAAATGTAGCACATACACACATGCAACATGACATCACTCAGCAGGTTGCATTTATCTATTTATGTGTGTGTGTGTGTGTGTGTGTGTGTGCGTGTGTGTGTGTGTGTGTGTGCGCGCGCGCGCGCGCGCACACGCGCACAGAACAATAATAATTTTAAAAAGAGGCTATCAGTTTGAGAGGTAATGGAGAGGACTGGGATACTTAGGAAGGTGAAATCATTAGAGGGGACCAAGGAAGGGAAGGGAAGGGTGAAGTGATATAGTTTATTATTTTAATCAACATATAACATGCAGTTTAAAAAATATGTAACTTCAGAACTGGGGAGAGTGTGTAGTGGTTAAAGTGTTTCTTGCTCTTCATTAGAATTAAAAGTTCACTTCCTAGAGCCCACATCAAGTGGTCACAACTGCCTATTATTCCAGCTCCAGGGAAACTGACATCTTATTTAAGCCACCTCAAGCACCTGCACGGAAATTTAAAGTAATTAGAAATAAAATATCTATTACTTCAATGGGGACATGAATAAACATCGAAATATATGACAAAATGAACATACAATTTGCATGTGAAAGTCAGGAGAAAGAATGTGAAAACTATTGCATTAGTTTAGATGGAAATCCCCATACACCATGCACAGTAATTCTGTAGAGAGCATCAGCAGCAGAACATCAATCAGAGGAACATCGGAGTTTGAAATCAAAGTGGGTGTGTTATTACAGTTAGACACTAACAAATTAAAAGTAATAACTGCATCTTTCAATATCTCTGGGATGCTGCTATTCAGATATTGTGCTTGTTAACTTCCTGTTTCTGTGATAAAAACACCATGGCCAGAAGCATCTTACAGAAGGAAGAGTGTATTTGAACTTCCAGTTCCAAAGGCAGAAGTGTCTATCATGGTGGGGAGAGTTAACTCGCTAGTGACAGACACAGGAGTAAGAAAAGAAGAATCTATCTCAGCCACAGGCAGGAATCAGAAATCGAACATAGTGGGCAGAGACGGTCAACAGTCAAGGCCTGCCTCCAGGGATAGATGTCCTCTATCAAGGCTCCAGCTCCCAAACTTACTGCACCCACCTCACACAGGACTACCACCTGGGACCAAGTGTTCAAATACCTGAACCTGTGTGGAACATTCTCACTAAAAGCACTGCAGAGACCAAATATAAAGATCTGACATCGAAGATATTGCGGAGCTACTCAGGGCACAGAAAACATGTTCTATGAAATAAGAGCAGAAGGTCCCCATATCAAGGCAAATATATGGGCCCTACTGTAGAGAAGACATTTAGAACCACAACAGCCATAACATCTCCTCAGTGTGTTTTAATCATGTTAAAAGCACCTGCCACCACTCCTGGGCTCACAAAAAGTATAGCTTAAAGCTTTTCACTGCACTGAAAATTCCAAAAACACAGAACCAAAAGCACCCAGAGAGAAGCTTCGAGAAGCTCCCCTTTCCTACAAAAGCAAGCCCATCCATGACCTCTTAGTGAAAAAAAAATAAAAGGGCAAGAAAATGTTTTAGAATGAAGAATTACAACCCCCCCCCACCCAAACAAAACAACTGCCAATCAAGGTTACTGTTGGAAATAAAGGAAGCCTTCAACTTTGAAGAAGAGACAAAGACCTTGCAGGATAAACATAGATTAAAGCGTAAGGAGACCGCCATGCTTACATTGCACATGCGCAGTGAGCACTATTTGCTTCCTGGGCTGTCAGTTGTCCCCGAGGAAGACCCTGCATGCTTTTGTTTATCAGTGTTGCTTGGCAACGGCTGTTCCCTAACTGTCAGATTCTGTTTGCCTGGTCAAACTGGAGCTTATCATTTCTGGGACTCACAGAGTTACGCTCTGGTTGGTAGACGGCCAGTGGTTAAAAGTTTATATTTCTTCTTTAGTGTTGAGCTGACAAAAAGGAGGCCACGGTGATGTTCTCCACCCTGAGGAAGTTCTTCTGCTTTAAGAAAGAGCCAAAAACTCCCTTGGGGTTTTGTGATGGCCCGAGCAGCGGAAAGGGAAGCTTGTGCTGTTGTGACTGTGGGACCGAGGATAGGTACCAACAGCCTTATGACCCAGAAAATAAATTTCATGAAGCTGTGTGTCAAGGAAGGATCAAAGTGGTGCTGAAGCTCCTTTCTAAGAAGAAGTTTGACATAAATGACAAGGATAAAAGGGGACGGTGAGAACACTTGGAAACTAAGGATGAAGGGCCACGAGGAAATCGGGTGATGGGAGAATCCTGTTTCCTAGCTCCTAGGACAACAGGGGTGGCACCTGTGATCACAGAGAGGTCCAGTGTCCAGGTCATCTTCTGGAGCAGGAGAAGCATGAGACCAAATCTCCAGAAGGTTTACCGTCTCCCCATAACTCACTTATAGAGCATTTGAATGTGCAATAGAAAAACGTAACAAAATATAAAGAAATGGGATTTAATTTCAATGTACACAAACACAATGCTGTATAAATTGTAGAAAGTGCAGAATTTAGGTCATGTTCCTCATAATGTGTCTCCTGTAAGCCCCTTGAAACACACGAGGGGCCAGGCACCTCCCCTAAGGACCTCCAAATGCCAGGCTCCACCCACAGAACACTTACTGCCCCCTCCCTAGAGTAAAAAGTTCAACCTCTGGACTTCAAAGCCCACCATTTCTCCACCCTGGAAAGCTTCACTCTGAACAGTTCCACCGCCCCTCCCCAGGAAACTCGCTACAAGCCTTGCCTTCTGCTCAGTTCTTCGCTGTTTCTGGCCCAAGCAGAGGCAGCCACCCTCCTGGGTTTTTTTCCCTCCCAATAAATCTCTTGTGAGAGGTTTGTTTTATGATGCGACTTTGTAGTATTTCTTGGCTCCTGACTACCAGGATACCTCTCCATACGAGCTGTAATGCTTACCTTTTCTTTCACCTAAAATTGTGCAAGCACAATTCAATGTGAATTTTATATGAACGTGTGCTAATGTTTATAGTCCTTACTGATGAATAATACAAAAAAAAATCTAAACTTGAAAGATGGCTGTGTGCCCATTTTCTTGTTATTTCTCACTAGTGTTCTAGGGATGTTATTCTCGCATCTCCTTAGATTTCTTATATTGTTTGTCTTAAGCTTCACTCAGTACTTCATATCATTCTGAGAGGTTAGGCAATGTTGCCTTGATCAGCCACAGCTTCCATAGCACCGTTTTCTGACAAGCTCCAGGTTATCTGCAAGTTACTTTCAACATCTTTAGTTATTCCTGGTAGAGGCAAATAAAGCTTGCTGGGAGTTTCACAACTTCCAGAGCAGCAAATATCTTGCTTTTCCAATGTGGGCCCAACTCAAGGTGTCCTAAATCTCACTTGTGAAATTGCTATTAGATATTGACATTAGGCATAGCAAAAATCTGATTTTCATATATCCTATGAATTTAACTATTGTCAAGAATGAGCCACTCTTACTTATTTGAACCCCACGTTTTCTTTGGCTTAAATTCCTTAAAATCAAAGCAAAGCTTCCTGTGCATTTAGATTTTGTTACTAATTATCCATAGTACTTTCATAGCTAGCATTTTTTAAAAAACTTCAGTGTAAAGACTAGAAATGTCGCCGGGCGGTGGTGGTGCACGCCTTTAATCCCAGCACTC